TACCTGATCCTCCACTTGCTATACATCTGCCAACCACATCCCATACCTGATCCTCCACTTGCTGTACATCTGCCAACCACATCCCATACCTGATCCTCCACATGCTATACATCTGCCAACCACATCCCATACCTGATCCTCCACTTGCTGTACATCTGCCAACCACATCCCATACCTGATCCTCCACTTGTTATATATATATCTGCCAACCACATCCCATACCTGATCCTCCACTTGTTATATATATCTGCCAACCACATCCCATACCTGATCCTCCACTTGCTGTACATCTGCCAACCACATCCCATACCTGATCCTCCACTTGCTGTACATCTGCCAACCACATCCCATACCTGATCCTCCACTTGCTATACATCTGCCAACCACATCCCATACCTGATCCTCCACTTGCTGTACATCTGCCAACCACATCCCATACCTGATCCTCTACTTGCTCTATACATCTGCCAACCACATCCCATACTTGATCCTCCACTTGCTATACATCTGCCAACCACATCCCATACCTGATCCTCCACTTGCTGTACATCTGCCAACCACATCCCATACCTGATCCTCTACTTGTTATATACATCTGCCAACCACATCCCATACCTGATCCTCTACTTGCTATACATCTGCCAACCACATCCCATACCTGATCCTCCACTTGCTATTTACATCTGCCAACCACATCCCATCCATACCTGATCCTCCACTTGTTATATACATCTGCCAACCACATCCCATACCTGATCCTCCACTTGCTATATATATCTGCCAACCACATCCCATACTTGATCCTCTACTTGCTATATATATCTGCCAACCACATCCCATACCTGATCCTCTACTTGCTATATATATCTGCCAACCACATGCCATACCTGATCTTCTACTTGCTATATATATCTGCCAACCACATCCCATACCTGATCCTCCACTTGCTATATATATCTGCCAACCACATGCCATACCTGATCCTCCACTTGCTATATATATCTGCCAACCACATCCCATACCTGATCCTCTACTTGCTATATATATCTGCCAACCACATCCCATACCTGATCTTCAGCCTGGCTTCCGTCCCCAGAAGCTCCTGCGGCTACAGCAGCCTCTCCGCCTACATCCTCTGTGTCACCTCCAGCAGCTTCATCTTTAGCACCCTCACCCTTCTCATCCTCGTCAGCATCTTCTTCTTCTTCTTCGTCAATAACTTCGGGAGAGTCTGGAGTCGGGTCATCAAACTTCTTCTTGTGGGCATCTATATCTTCAGGCTGTCAAAGACACATACACAATAATTAGCATTGCTACTTACTACTATAATCAGTAACTGATGACATGTACACAATAATTAGTATTGCTACACACAGACCCCCGTGTGGGTTCCGGGGTCCCATTGTAGGGGAAAACAAGAATAGACCCACTGCCTCCCCAAAAGCATGTCGTAAGAGTCGACTAATTGGGGAGCTTCCTTTGAAGTCAGAGTGCATCTGCCAGAGAGGCAAGTAACCAACAGTCTGTATTCAAGAGAATGAGATCTGTCAAACTGATGCACACGCAACACTCAGGTTCTGGAGCAGGACTGCAGTTCAGTAGTGGACGAACAACCAGAACTTTCCGCCAGAGTGTACAGCTGGTGAATGCGAAGAAGAAGAAGCTACACACAGATATGTCAGGAACTGTAAGGCACATCTACTAGGGCTGTTTCAGTAATTAGTATTGCTACATACTACCATAATCAATAACTGATGACATGTACACAGTAAGTAGTATTGCTACATACTACTATAATCAATAACTGATGACATGTACACAATAATTAGCATTGCTACTTACTACCATAATCAGTAACTGATGACATGTACACAATAATTAGTATTGCTACACACAGCCATGTCAGCAACTGTAAGGCCCGTCTACTAGGGCTGTTTAAAATCCCCCCCACCCCACTGAAAATGTGTTGTAAATCTGAAATAGCCAATTTTTACACCACATCCTAACCAATGTAAGCAGACTATGGAACCCATGTAAGCAGACTATGGAACCCATGTAAGCAGACTATGGAACCCACGTAAGCAGACTATGGAACCCATGTAAGCAGACTATGGAACCCATGTAAGCAGACTATGGAACCCATGTAAGCAGACTATGGAACCCATGTAAGCAGACTATGGAAGTTTAAATTACAGACTTGAATCAATGAATGCCTATAGCTGCTCACTGTATAACAACACAATCTGTGACCTACATCTAACAGTTTACCCGAGGCCTACAATATGCATGAAACTGACAGATTTGAACCATAATTCTGCTTGTGAATTCTATCTATCTGATACACTTTTAACAAGTATTTAATATTTCAGTTGAAAATGCACAAATCTGCAGTCTAATCTCTAAATTTCAACACTGAAATAAAATGTATAAGCCTGAATTGGAGGGCTGATCCCTGTAACATCTATAAATGACAGTATTAGAGTTACATGTTACAAAACTTGAAATAAGCCAACAGTCTGTACTATCTGTGAATGCAACAAGCTGCTGTAGAAACTGCCCACACCATCCTAGCTACTGGGTTTATGACTTTGTTAATGTCACCTTTATCCTACATGATTCACCATTTTATTGAGCATTGAAATGACAAGCACACCACACTTGCACAAATAATAATAATCCAACGACCAAGCAGCAACAGGAAAACAGATGTTTAAAACACATACAAACTCACGATGTCTGGCAAATAAATTTCAACATCTCTACAGACAGGTGTTAGTGTCACAAACACAGACAGTGGTGTTGTTGGTGTCACAAACACAGTGTTGTAGGTGTCACAAACATAGTGTTGTTGGTGTCACAAACACAGTGTTGTTGGTGTCACAAACACAGTGTTGTAGGTGTCACAAACATAGTGTTGTTGGTGTCACAAACACAGCATTGTTGGTGTCACAAACACAGCATTGTTGGTCTCACAAACACAGCATAGTCACAAACACAGTGTTGTTGGTGTCACAAACACAGCATTGTTGGTCTCACAAACACAGCATAGTCACAAACACAGTGTTGTTGGTGTCACAAACACAGCATTGTCACAAACACAGTGTTGTTAGTGTCACAAACACAGCGTTGTTGGTGTCACAAACAGTGTTGTTAGTGTCACAACACAAAAACAATGTTGTTAGTTTCACAACACAAACACAGAGTTCTTAGTGTCACAACACAAACACAAGTGTTGATAGTGTCACAACACAAACACAATGTTGTGAGTGTCACAACACAAACAGTGTTGTTAGTGTTACAGGCCATCACAGGTCACAAGCTATCACAGGTTACAGGTTACAGGCTATCTATCACAGGTTACAGGCTACCACAGGTTACAGGCTATCTATCACAGGTTACAGGCTATCACAGGTTACAGGCTATCTATCACAGGTTACAGGCTACCACAGGTTACAGGCTATCTATCACAGGTTACAGGCTATCTACCACAGGTTACAGGCTATCTATCACAGGTTACAGGCTATCTACCACAGGTTACAGGCTACCACAGGTTACAGGCTATCTACCACAGGTTACAGGCTATCTACCACAGGTTACAGGCTATCTACCACAGGTTACAGGCTACCACAGGTTACAGGCTATCTATCACAGGTTACAGGCTATCTATCACAGGTCACAGGCTATCACAGTTCACAGGCTATCACAGGTCACAGGCTATCTATCACAGGTTACAGGTTATCACAGGTAACAGGCTATCTATCACAGGTCACAGGCTATCACAGGTTACCACAGGCTATCTATCACTGGTTACAGGCTATCACAGGTTACAGGCTATCTATCACAGGTTACAGGCTATCTACCACAGGTTACAGGCTACCACAGGTTACAGGCTATCTACCACAGGTTACAGGCTATCTACCACAGGTTACAGGCTATCTATCACAGGTTACAGGCTATCTACCACAGGTTACAGGCTATCTACCACAGGTTACAGGCTATCTACCACAGGTTACAGGCTATCTATCACAGGTTACAGGCTATCTACCACAGGTTACAGGCTATCTATCACAGGTTACAGGCTATCTACCACAGGTTACAGGCTACCACAGGTTACAGGCTATCTACCACAGGTTACAGGCTATCTATCACAGGTTACAGGCTATCTACCACAGGTTACAGGCTACCACAGGTTACAGGCTATCTACCACAGGTTACAGGCTATCTACCACAGGTTACAGGCTATCTACCACAGGTTACAGGCTACCACAGGTTACAGGCTATCTACCACAGGTTACAGGCTACCACAGGTTACAGGCTATCTACCACAGGTTACAGGCTATCTATCACAGGTTACAGGCTATCTACCACAGGTTACAGGCTACCACAGGTTACAGGCTATCTACCACAGGTTACAGGCTATCTACCACAGGTTACAGGCTATCTACCACAGGTTACAGGCTACCACAGGTTACAGGCTATCTATCACAGGTTACAGGCTATCACAGGTCACAAGCTATCACAGTTTACAGGCTATCACAGGTTACAGGCTATCTATCACAGGTTACAGGTTATCACAGGTAACAGGCTATCTATCACAGGTTAGCAAGAAAGTTAATCTGACCAGACTGACACTGATCATATTCACCCACTGAGGGAACCACCTATAAACATGTAGGGCTTTCACCACACAATCAGACTTGAGTGTGCGAAGGGGTCCTAAAATCTGATTTTTTTTTAAAGGCTTTTCAGCGCCTTTTCTTGGTGAGGTGTATCCATAAACTGAACCTCCAGCCCGGCTAACCGGGCATCCAGTTCGGCCAACTGGGTGTCCAGTCCGACCAACTGAGTGTCCAGTCTGGCTAACTATGCCACCATTGCAAGGATGAGTACAATGGAGATGGCACCCCTTAACCTAATATTCATCTACTGGCATGTTTCTGTGAGCCACTAGAGGTCTGCTATACAAAACATACAAACACTGAAGCATGTAAACACAGCACCTTGATAGGTCCTGATCTGGGACACAGCCAGAAGGACAACAGCACAACAGGCAACAGCAGCACTACAGCATACACGGCCCACAGCCATGGTCTCTCGTCGGTAGAGCTCCTGATTGCATTCCACCACCCCTGCCACCAGCAAACACACCCACAAAACCATGGACAAGGGGGTCAAGGAGAGAATTAATAAAAAAAAACAGAAATAAAAACAAAAGAGAACAAAAGTTAAAGCAAACACAAGAACAGCAAGCAAAAAAAGTCAAACTTTCAGAGTCCTTGAATCATAATATGGACATGCAAGAAACAACTGTGTGTGTATTACAAGCTGAAACATCATCAAGGACCCTGGGAGTTTGAACCTACACCCACCACCATGAGAGCACAAGTCCTGCCTGTTGTTTAAAGCCAGCACAGTTACATAATTTCTGAATACCACCATGCCGTAGAGAGGCTGAAATGTTTTAATATATCCACCCCCCCCCCCCCCCCCCCCCCCCCCCCAAATAAAAGATTAACAGTAGGATTGGGGCATGTGATACACCCTTAAACAGTCTCCCTTTCAACCACAGCAATAAAGCTGCAGTCTATGTATGGATACAAATGTTGTCAAAAGCGGAGAGAAAACAGAAATAACAACAGGCACATTTGTGGACTCCCTTGTCAGTGAATGCAGCAAAGCAACTCTCTTCACAATTACTTTCACTGCTGGCACATCTGAAGTTTGCTACAAAATTTCACTGATAAAATATTGTGCATGTTGGGTTCTTCAATAATTGTTTTTTCATTTTTGCACAGCTGGTAACAGATAAGCCACTGTTTGAATCCCTCAAAGGAGTCTTACGCTTTACATGACCAAGTAAACACTAGAATGTGTTCTACACATTACGGTTGAAGTGCAAGGACTGAAACTAACTGCTAAATGATAGTGAAAGGAGTATGCTTTGATGGACAACAACAGAAAATTGTACGAGCATAAGAACATAAATAACAACCAAGAGATCATGCTGGTTTAGCCACAACACCAAGAAAAATCTGAGATCGTCAGCAGACGCAGCCAAAAAGAATAAACCAGGCAAACACGTGTGCTGCTGCTGCTGATCTACCTGTGAGGTGCCGGTGCAGCAGTAGGTTATGATGAGAACTATCGGCAGGACAACCACCAGGATGAAGACCGCCCATAGCCAAGGTCGTTCGTTCGTGGCGTCCTTGATGGCCTGAATAATGCTGTGCTGCAATGTCAGCATGAATCCAATGTCAGATTAATTCAGGATAGGCCAGTATGTCTTATTTCATGTACCCATAATGATCAGTAAATTCAGTTTTAACCGACAGCTTCTTTTTTTCTCCCTCATTTCAGCTCCCAACTGAGTCCTAAACTAACTTAGGTCAAGCCTACGGTAAGCTTGCAGCTCAAGTTCTGACCTTCCGTAACTGCACTTTCTTATATGCAAGGTAGGTCTCACTGTTACTATTTCTTGCTTATATAATGACCTTTCGCAATAGCTATGTTGTAATATCCAATCTAATTCTTCTTCTTCTTTGTATCTCCATTTTGCCTTTCAAAATCTGATTCCTTCCAGTGTTTGCAGGTGGTGACACCTTCAAGTTTCCATTATGTCCAAAGTCTCATGTCTAATTGTCATCTGTTACACGAGCAGGTTATCTGCACAGTCAAACACCAGTGCTGACTGTCGCCAATACCCTACCAGTCTCTCTCCATTTCCCTGCCATCTCATATACTTAATCCATCTGTCTGAGCCACATTTTTGTATCTGTTTCCCCCTTAGTTTTTACAACCCTTAAGCTTTTATACTTTTCACCCCGTCCCTTTTTTTTGCAGACCAGATCAGTGAAATTATGTGTGTGCCTTTATGTGTGTGTATGGCTACACCTTGTATTTCACTATAATTCTTGTTTGTTTGTAGTGGGATATTTTCCATAAAGGAGCCGTTTTCTCTTTTGTCAATTCTCAATCTTACAGACTGGACACAAATCTGATCAAAGCAAGCTCAGAAACTTCATCTGTTCCAATACTGGTCAATCAATGCCACAAGTGTCAGCGCAACAGCACAAGTATAGCTCCTCTGTAAACATGAATACTGCCCAAAAATTAATACCAAACACAAAACACTAGATGAATTTAGAAGAAGAAACAGATACTAGTTTTGTAAATGAATAACCACAGCCTCTGTATGCGGCATCAAGTTCCAGGTCAGAAATATACTCGTCTTTTTTCTTCGCACTCACTGACTGTAAAATCCGGGAGAAAGTTCTGGCTGTTCCTCCATCTCTAGACTTTGGTCTTCTTCCAGAGCTTGAATTTTCCATGCACATTCATTTTAAAGATCTGGCTTATTTAAATGTAGACTGTTGGCTCTTTGCCTCTCAAGTAGATCCACTCTGACTTCAGATTTTTGTCTCTTTGCCTCTCAAGCAGATCCACTCTGACTTCAGATTGTTGTCTCTTTGCCTCTCAAGTAGATCCACTCTGACTTCAGATTGTTGCCTCTTTGCCTCTCAAGTAGATCCACTCTACCTTCAGATTGATGGCTCTTTGTCTCTCAAGTAGATCCACTTTGACTTCAGATTGTTGTCTCTTTGCCCCTCACGTAGATCCACTCTTGACTTCAGATTGATGGCTCTTTGCCTCTCAAGTAGATCCACTCTGACTTCAGATTGATGGCTCTTTGCCTCTCACGCAGATCCACTCTGACTTCAGATTGATGGCTCTTTACCTCTCACGCAGATCCACTCTGACTTCAGATTGATGGCTCTTTGCCTCTCACGCAGATCCACTCTGACTTCAGATTGATGGCTCTTTGCCTCTCACGCAGATCCACTCTGACTTCAGATTGATGGCTCTTTGCCTCTCACGCAGATCCACTCTGACTTCAGATTGATGGCTCTTTACCTCTCACGTAGATCCACTCTGACTTCAACCCTAATGGGTTGATTGTTCAGCAGGCTTGTTGGGGATCTCTGGAACCCACACACGGATTCATGTGCACTAAAAAACAACATCCCACCAGTGTCTGTACTTCTTGTGTTTAGTCAGAGCATGCAAGGGAAATCTGACCATTTGTCTGTTTTAATTAGCCGCATATGTCTGGCTGTTATGACAGTAATTTACTTGTTATGTGTATATTATCATTATTGCCCCAAGTAGGCAACTGCCTTCTCCAGAGTGGAAACAGTCGTGTTGGCGATAGGTTTCATATTGTATTGTTGGTGTAAGGTAGGATTTTGTAACAGGTTGGATTTTGTGATAAAGTGGATTTTGTGGTGATGGTGATAAGTTTGGATTGTGTGATTGTGATGGGATAGAAAGAGTGATGCTGGTGAGTGGATGTTGTGAATGTAAATATTACAGAATGAAGCACTCGTCATATTCTTATACCTCCATTATATGTAAATGTGTACAATATGGTATAAATGTGTATGTTATGGTATAAATGTGTACATCATGGTATAATTGTGTATGTTATGGTATAAATGTGTACATCATGGCATAATTGTGTATGTTATGGTATAAATGTGTACATCATGGTATAATTGTGTATATTATGGTATCACATTTTTGCCTTATGTTGAGGCGTACTACAGATCAGCAGCCATTTTGGACTTTTAATAATTAAATTCAATTAGTTTGATACACCATCGACCGACTGTTCAAGTACTCACCCCTGCGGATGAGGCTGCTCTCTCCTGGGTGTTCTTCACCTCCCAAGTCAGGGCTGTTATCTCTTCGATAACTGACACATTATCACCAATGAGGAAGTTATCAAACATGATGTCATCAGTCATCGACCACAGCTCTAACCCTATAGCTTCCTGTGAACAAAGCAGATCAGGGAATCAATGTTAATTACGTGTCCAGGCTATGATATCAGCGTCCAGTGTCATGCTGACCACATCAGCCATAAGTGCTGACTGGTCCGTAGACTTTCACCACAAGGAGGTAGAAAATCAGACATCTTGTAATGTCAAACTTCTTACAGCTGCTGACATGTGACGCAGGTAATTATGTCTGCCCGCAGCCCTCTGCCTCATGAACTGTTCATTATTTCTGATATTGAATCTCTTTAGTGACATGATGCCAAACTGCTCTTCTATCTTGGTCTCCTCTGTCACTCTTCCACTTTCACCTCAGTGTTTTTCATGATGTTATGATGACTTATGCAAAGTTATCATTGTGAGCCACTGTTTTCGTCAAGATATTAAACTTTAAATCTGACCACTGTGTTCTTGTCATCCTTTTACAAAACCTTCTTCTTCTTTGCGTTCCCTAGCTGTAAACTCTGGTGGAAAGTTCTTGTTGTTCGTCAACATCACGACTATAGTCCTGTTCCAGAACCTGAGTGTTACGTGCGCAATCATTTTACAGATCTGGCTCATTTGTATGCAGACTACTGGTTCCTTGCCTCTCAGGCAAATGAACTCAAAAGAAGCCTCTAAACAGTCGACTCCTCTGACGACATGCTTTCAGGTAGGCAGCTGGTCTATTGTTTTCCCTGGCGCCCACACTGGGACATGTACAAAACCACATCCCTACAACATTTCCTTCGGCATATATCCAAATATCTATGCTATATGAAGCCTTTCACGGTCATGGCAAATGACTTAAATTAATCTTTTCTCCCCCCAATTGTTTCTCTTTTCAATGTCATACATTCCAGATTTTTCTCTTCTCACAATGTGGCCACCTCTTTCTGGTGTCCCTGATACACTGTGTCAATCTCTTCTCACAATGTGGCCACCTCTTTCTGGTGTCCCTGATACACTGTGTCAATCTCTTCTCACAATGTGGCCACCTCTTTCTGGTGTCCCTGATACACTGTGTCAATCTCTTCTCACAATGTGGCCACCTCTTTCTTGTGTCCCTGATACACTGTGTCAATCTCTTCTCACAATGTGGCCACCTCTTTCTGGTGTCCCTGATACATTGTGTCAATATCTTTTTACAAGTTTATTCAGCAACAAATAAGGCTTTACTTTCACTAGTCCATTTAATAGCAAATATGGCTTTACTGTCACTAGTCCATTCAACAGCAAATATGGCTTTACTGTCACTAGTCCATTCAACAGTAAATATGGCTTTACTGTCACTAGTCCATTTAACAGTAAATATGGCTTTACTGTCACTAGTCCATTCAACAGAAAATATGGCTTTACTGTCACTAGTCCATTGAACAGTAAATATGGCTTTACTGTCACTAGTCCATTCAACAGCAAATATGGCTTTACTGTCACTAGTCCATTCAACAGCAAATATGGCTTTACTGTCACTGGTCCATTCAACAGCAAATATGGCTTTATTGTCACTGGTCCATTCAACAGCAAATATGGCTTTACTGTCACTAGTCCATTCAACAGCAAATATGGCTTTACTGTCACTAGTCCATTCAACAGTAAATATGGCTTTACTGTCATTGGTCCATTCACCAGCAAATATGGCTTTACTGTCACTAGTCCATTCAACAGCAAATATGGCTTTACTGTCACTAGTCCATTCAACAGTAAATTTGGTTTTACTTACAATTGGTGTCATCTTGTAGGGATTCTTGTCCTCGAAGTAATCAGGATTAGGGATACGCCTGGGTTTCCACTCTCCCTTGTAATTGGGGTTGTCAATCATGGGAGCTCGCCAGGTACCCTTGAACTTGGGGTTGGGAATGGTTGGCTTCTCCCACTTGCCACAGCCGGGGCCATCTTTGCACTTGGGGTTGTCTGCAACAGATAGGACAGATTTACTCACATCCTTACTGAGTCAGTGTACTCAACACTGATTTCTCTGAGGTCATGTACCAAACACTGATTTCTCTGAGGTCATGTACCAAACACTGATTTCTCTGAGGTCATGTACTAAACCAGGGCTATTCAACTGGCGGCCCGCCAAGGCCTAGCAAGCAGCCTGCGGATCACTGCTAGTTGTATTGCATTTATGTTCTTTCTATGGTGGGGCTGTGGCTCCTGGCCCATGACGATTCCCAGTTTTGAACATTTTGGCCCCTGAGTCAACTTAGTTGAATAGCCCTGTACTAAACAATGATTTCTCTGAGTCAATGTATTAACACTGATTTCTCTCAGGTCATGTACTAAACACTGATTTCTCTGAGTCAATGTATTAACACTGATTTCTCTCAGGTCATGTACTAAACACTGATTTCTCTCAGGTCATGTACTAAACACTGATTTCTCTCAGGTCATGTACTAAACACTGATTTCTCTCAGGTCATGTACTAAACACTGATTTCTCTGAGGTCATGTATGACAGAATTAGGTATTTTAGAAAAGAAGCTAGTTTATTGTTAGACAATCCATTACCACAGACAAGAGTCTGCTGAATAGGATAAACATTTACAAAGGGAAACAAAATATCATAAGAAGGACTGCTTGATGTGAACATGAAAATACAATCAGATGTAACAGAGAGATCAATGCCTCAAATGAGATATTTAACATCTAAGATATTATAGAAAGATTCAATATCTCCAAGTCGAACCAATAAAATAACACAATCAATATCATCTAAAACAGGCTTCAGACACATACAAAAGAACAAGATTTCCAAATACACCTGTCTAAATTCAACAAAATAATAAATGCCTTCCAACCACAAGGGGCTTGCATGACCATAATGGATGTAACTAGGTAACGATGAAACCTGACACAAGAAAAACTCCCAGTTTTTGCACTAAACATGTAAAATATGCGTGCGTTTGCATGTTATCAGGGAAAATACCTACAGAAGAAAAACAACAAGAGGCAGATAGAGCCCATGTTTCAGGATTCCAGCCTATAACAAAAACCTGTTTGCCACCCGTTACATTGAGAGCATAGAAATCTACGGGGAAAAGAATGATAGCTGTTTCTAGACTGTCAACACCGTTCTACTGAATGAAAGATATCTGCGTCATGGAAACAAGGTTAAAGGACAGCATGATGCAGATCTCATTAAACTTTACAGAAAAACGAAACGAAGGTAATGACCAGAAATAAAGACAATCACTTCAAACATTTCTATGTCAGAGTCACTCAAGCATGGCTTAAGCAGCTAATGACTACAGATTTGAATATCATGATTCATCCACACCCCTTCCCCCATTCTCAGAATGTGGCTACATCAGCCTTATTTCTTAGAAATATAAAATTAGCCAAACAATAGTTAATAGAAAACAACCACACTCATAGAAACAAAATACACTGAACAAAGCTGACTTACATGTTGCCAATAACTTACCAATACGAGGTGCCTCCCACTCTCCGTCCATCTCATCATCCCTGAAACAGAGTGTTGTATACTGTTAGTTGTGTATCCTTTCAACAATGTTGCAGAACCAACCCTAGTAGTTTTTTTTTTTTTTGGGGGGGGGGGGGGGGGGGGGGGGGGGGGGGGGGGGGGGCTGTTGTGGTTTTTCTAGGCAGATTTAGTAGTTTGCATGGCTTACTGAATGGTCAGCTCTTGGTACCACTGTCGAAATCAACGCAAGACAGTCTGCTGACAAACCGCTCACAGCTGGGGTTGAACCTGGCACCCTGGCATTACAAAGCGCTTTCGCAATGCTTAACTCTTTGAGTCCCAAGGAACGCATCATACGTTCATAGGTTCCTACCAAGAAGCCAAATTAACGCATGATGCTTCGATTTTAGTCACTTTTCACTACCCCTTGGGCCTGTGATGCTAAAGCCCCTGGGACTCAAAGAGTTAAGCCACGGACATCGAAGTATGCTATACTCACAGATAAAAAATCAAGCCACGGACGTCGAAGTATGCTATACTCACAGATAAACAATCAAGCCACGGACGTCGAAGTATGCTATACTCACAGATAAACAATCAAGCCACGGACGTCGAAGTATGCTATACTCACAGATAAACAATCAAGCCACGGACGTCGAAGTATGCTATACTCACAGATAATCAAGCCACGGACGTCGAAGTATGCTATACTCACAGATAAACAATCAGGTTAGCCTGATCACATGCAGAGATACAGAACATCCAAGTATGGTGGGGGATTCAAATCTTTAACGATCACACAGGAAATAAAAGTGCCAGCAACAGGCCAGCGACTATGACTTGTTCACACAGCACACAGGAAATAAAAGTGCCAGCAACAGGCCAGCGACTATGACTTGTTCACACAGCACACAGGAAATAAAAGTGCCAGCAACTATGACTTGTTCACACATCACACAGGAAATAAAAGTGCCAGCAACAGGCCAGCGACTATGACTTGTTCACACATCACACAGGAAATAAAAGTGCCAGCAACAGGCCAGCAACTATGACTTGTTCACACATCACACAGGAAATAAAAGTGCCAGCAACTATGACTTGTTCACACAGCACACAGGAAATAAAAGTGCCAGCAACAGGCCAGCAACTATGACTTGTTCACACATCACACAGGAAATAAAAGTGCCAGCAACTATGACTTGTTCACACATCACACAGGAAATAAAAGTGCCAGCAACAGGCCAGCAACTATGACTTGTTCACACATCACACAGGAAATAAAAGTGCCAGCAACAGGCCAGCGACTATGACTTGTTCACACATCACACAGGAAATAAAAGTGCCAGCAACAGGCCAGCAACTATGACTTGTTCACACATCACACAGGAAATAAAAGTGCCAGCAACTATGACTTGTTCACACAGCACACAGGAAATAAAAGTGCCAGCAACAGGCCAGCAACTATGACTTGTTCACACATCACACAGGAAATAAAAGTGCCAGCAACTATGACTTGTTCACACATCACACAGGAAATAAAAAGTGCCAGCAACAGGCCAGCGACTATGACTTGTTCACACATCACACAGGAAATAAAAGTGCAGCAACTATGACTTGTTCACACATCACACAGGAAATAAAAGTGCCAGCAACAGGCCAGCAACTATGACTTGTTCACACATCACACAGGAAATAAAAGTGCCAGCAACTATGACTTGTTCACACAGCACACAGGAAATAAAAGTGCCAGCAACAGGCCAGCAACTATGACTTGTTCACACATCACACAGGAAATAAAAGTGCCAGCAACTATGACTTGTTCACACATCACACAGGAAATAAAAGTGCCAGCAACAAGCCAGCGACTATGACTTGTTCACACAGCACACAGGAAATAAAAGTGCCAGCAACAGGCCAGCGACTATGACTTGTTCACACATCACACAGGAAATAAAAGTGCCAGCAACTATGACTTGTTCACACAGCACACAGGAAATAAAGTGCAGGCAGCGAACTTGTTCACACAGCACACAGGAAATAAAAGTGCCAGCAACAGGCCAGCGACTATGACTTGTTCACACATCACACAGGAAATAAAAGTGCCAGCAACAGGCCAGCGACTATGACTTGTTCACACAGCACACAGGAAATAAAAGTGCCAGCAACAGGCCAGCGACTATGCCAGCAACAGGCCAGCGACTATGACTTGTTCACACAGCACACAGGAAATAAAAGTGCCAGCAACAGGCCAGCGACTATGACTTGTTCACACAGCACACAGGAAATAAAAGTGCCAGCAACTATGACTTGTTCACACAGCACACAGGAAATAAAAGTGCCAGCAACTATGACTTGTTCACACAGCACACAGGAAATAAAAGTGCCAGCAACTATGACTTGTTCACACATCACACAGGAAATAAAAGTGCCAGCAACAGGCCAGCGACTATGACTTGTTCACACAGCACACAGGAAATAAAAGTGCCAGCGACTATGACTTGTTCACACAGCACACAGGAAATAAAAGTGCCAGCAACAAGCCAGCGACTATGACTTGTTCACACAGCACACAGGAAATAAAAGTGCCAGCAACAGGCCAGCGACTATGACTTGTTCACACAGCAGATATAGTCAGTGGTCAACTAGAGAAGCTGCAACAGTCAGTGACCAGCACCTGCCGGTCGTCCAGTGATCTTGTATTTGACCTTCCTGCGTGGCAGAAACTGTTTTCCAATTTCAATCCACACTAAACTGAGTGCTGTTTGGTTTTTTTATCACATAGGGATGACAAAACAGTTGCTACTGTATAATATGAGGATATTCAACAAGTACTGCTGCATCACTAGGTGGAAGGGGCGGGCGAATATGGCCAGCGCTGCTACTTTATCACAGGGAGGATACAGATAGTATTACGCTGTACTTAAGTCACTTTCAGGAAACCTTTAGTCTACACTATCTGAAGCAGGATCAACCTTAAAGCTGTAGAGATAGAACAAATGCAAGCCTACACTATCTGGGGTCAAACGAGCAAAAATGTTTGATGAGTTTGCTGAACTGCAGAAACTTAGCTCTCATAACTACAACAATGTTACATAAGATATGAAAAATGGTCTATAAGACTTCCTCAACAAGCAGGACACAAAAGAATGCAAAACTGCTGTGACCACAAATTTAGAACAAACCCACCGTTATTCAACAATCACAGTACAACACAACATGTGCCCCTACCAATCTTCTGGCTTGACAGCTGATGGGTCGGGTATGTAGACCTCTTCATCCTCCAACCAGCCGTCTGGCATCACAGCATCCTCGTCTACAATGGTAGCCGGCTGAGACTCATCCCTGTTAATTCAGTGATGACATAACATTAGTTGTAGTGCATAATTACTGAGTACACATGCATATAAGTGATGAATTACATCACCTGATTGGCCAAACACATTAGACTTTGTCAAGCATCTGTTTACTGGGTTAGCCCTGCCATTTGGTTTTGTGGGGCATGATGTGGCTTTATTTGTGTGGTGTCCTCTCAATTTATCTACAGGTGTTGCCTGTGGAGAACCCAACTAGGGCAACTTCATGTAGACTGGTCAGAACTGAAGGGAAGGCGGGGTTAGGGCCTGGACGAGGTCCATCATCTTTTCAAGGAAGACGCAGGAGCCCCTTAACTTCTATGCACCCTTTGGTAAGATCTGGCATAACTGGGCAGTCGTGATGGATGTGTACAGAGTTCACTGGAGGTCCCCAAAGGTTTGTTTTTTAAATCAAGAAACCATGTGTTGTTTGTTAACCCTTTGGCTCGGTACTACGGATATCGCAACCCTTCAGTCTTGATTCCATGACAGATACCGTAAATCTGGGAGAAATGAACTAGGAACGGATCTGAAAATGTTTAAGTGAGTGCAGGATGATGATGCAGGACAGAGGGCGCTGGAGACACAATACAGCTGACCATCAATGTGGAGATGGCACTTGATTGATTGACTGGGACCAAATATAACAAACAGATAAACCAAAAGACATTGCTATACTACTACAACAGATTACTGGAAATAAATTGATAAAATAGTAGAAGTAAAGTTTAGGACCCTCTATGAGCCAATAATGCATTAGGCATACATTGCTAAACTCATAGTAACAGATCAATCAGTACTCAAAGTGTGATTGGTCAACCCTGGCCAACCGCCTTCACTTCTCATGACTGGTACCTAATGGTTTCAATTTTAGGCTGGGCTGACCTGGAAGCCATAGTCATTTTTCTGTAAAAGGTGACTCAGTGTGGTCTGAACCCAAGACCTCTGGATCGGCAGGGAACAAGTCCAGCCACTAGACCGCCATAAGACAAGAACAGATAACCGGAGACACAAGTAGGCCACTCACCAATCATCAGGCTTCTTGGCATCTGGATCTGGAATTCTGAAAAAGAGACAAAAAAAGAATTTTTTAAAGGCACAAATCACAAAGTATTTTCTCATCTGTAAATCAGTAAGGAACCGAATATGAGCAGTAGGTAGATAATCAACCAACACTCTAAAGCAAGGAATGCATATCACAGGAGAAACTCGCTCTGAGACTTGTTCTCGACTGTGGTGCAGGATTCATTTCTTTTGTTTGTGTGTGTGCATGCGCGCGTGTGTGTGTGGGTGAAGGGAGAGGGGGGGTGAGGGGGTTGAAACACATGGCTGCATCAGAGTGCATCTCTTTTTTCACTCGCTGTTTTCCAGTCATACTCTGTGTTGTGCTCACCCAGTTCTCTGTTTCAGCTCAACTGTTGCGACACACAGTTTTGACACAAGACTACAAAGAGCTTATTATAGGGTGCAGAAAAGAAAACGTAAGTCAAACGTAACAGCCCCCCCCCTCCCCGCCCCATTATCACTGCAAATTAACAAAATACTACTTATATAAACAATGTGACTGGTCTGCCCCATATTGAAACTTACCCCAGAAAACACTCCAACAACAAAACTTACTTCTCTCTGTCGTCCCAATCTGCTGGTTTCTTGTCATTGGGATCTTCTATCTCCTGCGGTGGATTGACTGGTGGACTAGACAGATAGAAAACATACAGCTGCTTAATAAGGATAAAACTAGTTTGTAAATTGATCTATGGTGGTTCGGTAGTTAGCAGATAACCTGATAGGGATATGGAGCTGGCTACCGCAAAGTTATTACACTGAGACCCTCCGGGAAGGCTAACCCGGTCAACAAATGCCAGCAGAAGTCGGATGTGTTGGCCGAAAGGTGCAAATATCGCAGCCTTGCTGTAAACGGACACAACGCAATCACATCTTCGGATGAACGCAAAAGAAGAATATATTGGGACTTACAACACATGAAGATCTTAATAGTCACACCTTAAGGATGGCGTCAATTAACTGATCTAATGGTTTGTTCCCTCTGGACTGCTACCTGAGGTTTCACCATCCTGGGGGGAGGGGATGTGGATCGCAGACCAACATGGCAGATCTGTTACCCAGGTCATCCTCAAAGATTTATAATTAGGTCGTCCATAACGACTATATCAGCCCAGTGTAACCTGCTGTCCTAGGTGGGTCAGGAAAAAGCAGCATTTGTCACGGGACTAGCCTGTAGGCTGGTGTCTACTGTTGCTAATTACAGAAACCAACATTAGCTAATAACAGGACATAAGCATCACACCATGAATAAAATAAATCTGATTCTCCGTACCTGAAGTTGGTCAGCAAGTCTCCAGTTGCCACAACACCATTATCAACCTTCACCTCGTACGTATTATCTGGGTTGATAGCTGCAATGTTGATGATAAACAACATTAGAAGATCATAACAACACTGCAGGTTATTTAGAAGACAGAAGAACATTAGAAGATGATAACTTAGAAAGAGAACATGAGAAGATAATTGAGAAGACATAACATTAGAAGACCACAAAGCAAATGAATATTATATAATAACTTCATTATATGTGGCTACTGTGTTGAGCACATCACTCATCAAGTACGAAAAGATTGAACAACTTAAGCCAGGGGGGTCGTTGCATGAGAGAGAATAAAGCCAAGGGGATCGTTGCATGATTGAGAATATCTAAAACAGAGAGTATTTACTGGTGCTCAGTCATCTAAGCCTTGTAACTCAGTCTGCATCTAATGGAGAAAGAGGCTGATGTGCTTTCCTCCATATCACGTACTGAAGAGTCACCTCATTGGGCAGTGTGCTACAGAGCTCTCCTTCCCCGCTCCATGCACAGAAATCCGCAGTATGTGCAAGACCGGCATAATTAACCTATTCAGTAACAAGGAACACATGATGCAGTTATTTAAAATTAATTTAAACGTCCTTTGGTACCAACCGAAAGAGTCATGACAAAACAGATTTTCCCTGGGATCATCTACATTCCCCAATACAAACATCCTTTGAAAACATATCTCACAAGCCATGTTCTTTCCACAACCCTTAAGAACACATTTCACAAGCTATTTTCATTCCACAACTCTTGTAAACAAATTTAATATGCCATGTTCTTCTCACATCCCTTGCTAACACATCTCACAAGTCATGTTCTTTCCACGTCCCTTGCAAACACATTGAACAAGCCATGTTCTTTCCATAACTCCTGCAGACATATTGAACAAGCCATGTTCTTTCCACATCCCTTGTAAACACATCTCACAAGCCACGTTCTTTCCATAACTCTTGCAAACACATTGCACAAACCATGTTCTTTCCGCATCCCTTGTAAACACATCTCACAAGCCATGTTCTTTCCACAACTCTTGCAGGCATCGCACAAGCCTTGTTCATTCCACAATTCTTGCAAACACATCTCAGAAGCCATAATATTCACGTAGATAAATAATGAACTCTCTAGCAGCATTCACACAACTCAGTCCAGAGTTTAAACATACTTAGGGTGTACAGATGGGTCTTTCTGTCAGTGAAGAAGCTATCAAGCTTGGCTGTTGGTTTTTCTGCATGTTTCTCCTACAAGATGCAACAACAATAAAACAGTAAATATTATGATTCCAGTATCCTTTTCAGTGCTCTTTTGATGTCAACTGTTGCATGTTTGTTCAACAATACTGAACCATATCTGTACAATATTACTTACTTAATTACATTTGTGTTTTATTTTTATTTTCTGTTCTTCCCACTGGATGATGATATGCTCCTTACATACCTGTGTCTTTTCCTTACTTTAGTTGGTTTTCGATACATATCTTGACTAGTAAACCAAGCGTAAATTTTCACTGCTCAAATCTAGCACTTTCCCCTTCAATAACCACAAACTAATAAAGACACTAAACTTTTTATGACAGGAGAATGTCTCACCTCGATGACACCAGTCTTGGGGTTCTTGTGTCGGAAAATGAAATGCAACTGTAATGAAGAAAAAAAAAACATCTTTTAACATCCAGAAACTTAATGAATCCAACACCTAGTATACGATATAAAGAACAATTATGGACAGAGGGAATATAAGTCTGCACTGAAAAAACAAAGACTGGAATGAATAAAGCACTTTCACTTATGCAGTTTATGCAACTGAAGAGAATCATAGGAAAGCTCATCCCAACATTCCCATCATCTGCAGACAATCATCTACTGAATTTATTCTTTAAAAAGAAAAAAAAAACGGCTTTCTCCCTCCCCCCATGTTAAAGGCAACTTCTCTCTCTCTCGTGGGTGTGTGTGTGTGTGCGTGTGGGGAGCACACAATGATGGCAACAAATGCCAGCCTCCCATCAAAAAGTTCAGACAAATTCTGGCATCAAATAATGAATTCATGGACCATTAGTAAAACTCATCTTCATGGACCATTAGTAAAACTTATCTTTATGGACCATTGGTAAAACTTATCTTCATGGACCATTAGTAAAACTTATCTCCCCAAGCTAAAGCCTCAACTTTCTAGACTGTTACCCTTGATAGAGATATTTAATCCATCACTTCAAACAGAGGGATTGGGGGAGGACTTGCTGTATGCACTAATATCACCCCTTTCTTATGTTTAAATAAACAAACAAGTCTGTAGTACAGAGACAGGAAAGGGAAACAAATGTTGAATTGGACCAAGGTCAAGCACTGTGATCTCTAAGCTGCATGATCCCAAACAGTAAACAAAAGTTAACATTGGGCAATAAGACTAAATGAGGAGTTAACAGTGTGAGACAGACTAGCCATATTCTAGCAGCAGACAAGACTTACACACACATATCTGTATGAGAGATTACCTTATGGTCATTGCCACACTTGTCTGGTCCAAACATAATGGTGTACGGAGTCTTGTCTGTAAATGTTCTCTGTGTAAAAAATATGTATTTAGATAAACACTGGTATATTCTTATAAGTGGAACATGGACAGTTGGATGATTAGTGTTAGGGTGCGGCAGAGATGTGGCTTTATAGACCAATGGTGAGAATAACGTGGACAGATAAGAAACTGGAGTACACTGTGACGCTGGGAAAGTTAGAGGGGAAAGAGGCAGTGAGAGACCAAGAAAGAAGAAAAGAAGATTGTGGATAGACATATCTGCCAACGACACACAGCACTGACTTTAAGAAGCGATATCTTTTATGAAATACATCGACAAAATGTTTACACTAATAAAGGAATCAGGGTTACAAACATATAAACCAGGACCTACCAGGCTACAGGCTAACCATGACAACGTCACAGTTTGTGAAGGTAGAAAATGTGGGAAACAGAGCTGCAGACTGCTGGGATATACAGATTTACTCAGTCAGGATACAAAGACGGACACAATCAAGATCTAGAGATGGACACAGTCAGGATATAAAGACGGACACAATCAAGATCTAGAGATGGACACAGTCAGGATACAAAGACGGACACAATGAAGATTTAGAGATGGACACAGTCAGGATATAAAGACAGACACAATCAAGATCTAGAGATGGACAGTCAGGATATAAAGACGGACACAATCAAGATCTAGAGATGGACACAGTCAGGATACAAAGACGGACACAATCAAGGTTTAGAGATGGACACAGTCAGGATACAAAGACGGACACAATCAAGATCTAGAGATGGACACAGTCAGGATACAAAAACGGACACAATCAAGATCTAGAGATGGACATAGGATGTAGAGATGGAGTTTCAGGGAGTAGATGAAATCTCAAGAGTATGCTTGGACTTACTGACCAGGGATGAAGCAACAGTTCCCGACTTGATTGTCCAAAAGAGTGGACACCATATGATGGACCTCCCAGGGTAACATCAAGCAATGCATTTTCAAATATAATTTTTTTAATGGTAAAATCAACCCCATTGCAAATATTGATGATACAAAGTAATTACAAAGAACGTCACATTAAGTGTGTCATATACTAACGAGCTGAAGTTCACAGCTGCTTTCCTAGCAGATTTATATTATCCATTTCCTAACTTATGAAATAAGCAATGTAAAGATTAAATTACTCTGTTTTTCTAAAAACAGTAATCACTTGTGGATGTTTAGCTAGCTAATCCACTGCTTGGAGAGGGTTTAGTGATCACGCAAACTAAAATCTAAACTGACAAACTATGAGCCAAACAATTCATCCAAATATCAGAAAGGCAATACATACATGAGTGAGATGACCCAAAAGGACCACCACACGAAACACATACCAGATTCAACTGATCTGATTTTGACAGAAGTTTGATGTATGCTCCGCCACAATCTATGCCATTCTGGAACCTCACTTCATACCTGTTTACATGCACAAACAAAAGTGTGTCATTGTTCATGATAAATATAGTTCTCTATCAAACACTGCCACAAGAGCATCACAAATTACAGTTGACATATATAAGGGAGCCGTGTTAGCGCAGTCGATAGGAGACCTGCTCTTAATCCAGCTGCGACTCACTGCAGCCTACGGCAGGTGTTCCAAACCGGGCAGTTCCCGGGGTTCACCCAGCCTCTAGGTAATGGGTACCAGAGTTAAAACTCTGGGGTAAACGGAGGAACGTCGCTGTAGCTACAGAGTTGCGTGCAGACAGCGACACAGGCGGACAGTTTCTTATCAGCTGTCCCTACTAGTGGCAGAGCCCTTATGGTTTATAACCGTGTGCAATGGCGTTGGTTCACATCTCCCAACTTGACCTTTTACCATATACGAGGTCACAGCATATGGTACGGTGGTGACAGACTTTTATAATAACATATAAATTAAGTATTTGTATTCTGTTTGTGTACATTTATAGATAAAATAATTTTTTTTTTTTAAATATCTAGAAACCATGAGTTGTTAACCCTTTGGCTCGATACTATGGATATCGCAACCCTTTGGTCTTAATTTCATGATAGATACTGTAAATCTGGGAAGAATGTGGCTTTTCTGCCTACTCGCAGGCGTGAACCCGGACAACAAGGAGTTCGCCACCCAGTTGCCGCAAAGCCAGATATAACCAACTACGCTAGCGATCGGGGCAGATAAAATTCATAAAGGACCCTATTTCACATCCTGAATATAATTAGTGCTAGACCAATCAGCACTTGGTGGGTGATGTGGTTAACATCACGCTGGCCGCGTTTACTTTCCAGGACTTCACCTGGTACCCATGTTAGGCTGGAATCAACCCGGAAGCCTAGGTCATTTGTTAAACCCACAACCTACAGGCCCACATGCAAGCATTTAGCCACTACACCACGGCAACTCCCATACAAACACAAACACACACATATATATATATATATATATATATATATATATACATACATACACACAGTATATGTATATTCACATATGAAGTATGTGTATATATGAACACAAAATATACGTACAGTGTACCAACACTTGCAACATGTCATGTGCAGTTACAATAATCTGATAGTGTTCTTCTCCGCCATTTTGTCTCTTGCAGATTTCTTCTTCCTATTGTCCACTGGCAGGCACACAGACCTGCACACTGGCACACAGACCTGCACACTGGCACACAGACCTGCACACTGGCACACAGACCTGTTCACTGATGTATTTTATGAAAGCAGTTAACATTGTCAGGATCAAGCCATTCCAGTAGTGAAGATGGCTGATGTCATATGCATGACAGCAGGACATAGCAGGTGACAGGTCTATCATGAGAGCCCCAACCATTACACACCAAGATCTGGCACACCGATCTAGAACTAGCGATAGACATCTTGACCTTTCTGAGCTGTATGTGGCACAGTTGTGATGTATGTTTTCTGTTGTTTCAGGTGCCAATTTTTAGCTCTGCATACATGTGGCTTTTGAGCCTGCTTCTCCAGCTAGGGATGGTCTTCTTCTTCTTCTCTGCGCTCACCAGCTGTAAACTCTTGACAGAAAGTTCTGGTTGTTCATCCTCTTCTGGACTCTAATCCTGTTCAAGAACCTGAGTGTTGCCGGCACATCCATTTTACAGATCTGATGCACTTGTTGGTTCCTTGCCACTCAGGCAGATGCATTCTGATTTCGAAGAAGCTACAGAAGGTAACTTATGCAGTCCTGTCCAATAGTTAATAGTCATCCCCTGACCTTTCACAATTTTTTTTTTTAAACTTTAGAATATTGAGGTGACAACCAGTGTCTTTCAATGTGAGACTTGCTCAACACAAATAACAGAGGATAAAATTCCATAATTCAACCCGAATAAAACATGAAATGATGACTCACTGAGCAATAAACGGCTTCCCGTTGAACTCATAAGGCTTGTCGAGCTTGGCAGAAATGGCATGGTGCTTGGCTTTGGACTACAAACAGAACAAATGCAAGGAATGAGAGCCAGAGATGGCCGGAGGAGGATAAACAAACTTTACTTTAAAATGGTTAAGAAGTGGGTAGACAGGCCCATCTAACATTCTGCCCTTCTTTTCTCCCTCCACTGATACTTTATTTCATTCATACATCTGTTAACAATAGTAAACATTATCAACAGCAGCTAAATAGTAAATACAGGCACACATGACGATTCCTTGGTTGACTCTAGGACTAGAGAGTCATGAGTCAGCTTTGTATTTATGGAAGCTGCTTTAGATGGTAGGGAATGGCCATGATCTGGCCCTGTCTTCCCTAGAGGGCCAACCAGTCTACATGTGATTGCCTATGAGGGGTTCTCCAGGGAAATCCCCTGTAGTAAAGGGACAGAGAAGACAAAACACAAATATGACATCATGTCCCAGGAAACTATCTGGCATGGTTTACTCTCTGACCAAATGCCTGATGGAGTCCATGTGCTGGCAGAAAAATGAAAATATCTCAGCTATGCTGTAAACACACACAACACAATCACACATCACTTGGATGTAAGAAAATAAGGAACACAAGCTCTGGAATGTGCTCAAATTTTGCTTACATTTCTATATAACCACAGTAAACTACTCTAAAAGACAGGCATTCAGGGAGGGGGAACTACTGTGCTTTAGTAGTGAGTACGTTTTTGTTCTTGCTTTTGTAAGCAAGATAGAAGTCCCTGGTCAATCGACAGCAGTGGCAGCAGAATTCTTTTTTCTGACCAGTATGCTCTGAGGATAAGGTAGAAGTTAATCCTTTTGGACGAGTCCACTGGGTTGCTGATGGTGGAGTGAACTCTAGATGTAGAGGTTAGCCATGGAAACATTGTGGTCAAAGTCGGGCAGTACTTCAAGGCTACCTTTATACCTCAACTCCAGTACTGTACAGTATCTAAATGATAAAACAGCCTAGTACACAAACCAACTGCTATATGACTTCTCTGACTATGGTTCAGTTAATCAATTCACGTGTGCGAGTGCAGGTAAATGTGAGAATAAGCATATATTATTTTACATCTAACCCTTAATGTTATTGTATAACACTTCCCCCCCCCCCCTCCAGGTGTTATCAGGAATGACTGAATGCCTATAGCACTGCAATTTTGTTTCTAATTTATCTAACTCCATGCCATTAAACATTTAACATGATAGTACCACAAATGAATACCTTGAGAATCAAGCTCAAATCTCCATCAATTGGGTTATCCTTTGGCTCTTCGACAGCCCACTTGCCTGCAATTACAATACAAAACTACAGGAAAGCATTCTTAACATACTAAATACAGTCGAGGTCTTAGCACTATATATTCCTACCATCATGATTTTTGCCCTAACACGAACACAGCAAGAAAACTTACTCTCCAACCCTTTCTTTCCTCTGCTCTTTTTTTTCTTCCTTTTATGATAAACAGATGTGTGAAAGCAGGACAGGAATGGTACATGTTTTGAGGTTGATTCATGGGATCAGGATGCCATGGACTGTGTTGCTTGGAGGGGAACACCAGGAAGGGATCAAGGAAGCAAATGAAGGCAGACAGAGCAACAGCTCAAGCTGAAGAGAGGAAACATGTCCGACACATGTAACAGCAGCAGTGGTCCGAAAATCGCAAGCTATTACTGTGGAAGATTTTTCCTAATGTGAGCCCAAATGTCTCACACAGTTTTAAAAATTGTTGTGTGTCTTATACAGCAATTTGAAGAACCAACCCTAGCATTTTGCCCCAGATTCAACCACTATCTTGTGAAATATTCTCTTATAACAGTCTCAGCTAGACTAGCAGAACGTATGCTAGTCCTGAGACAGTCAGATTCTGTGCACCTTTAAGCAGAAGATGCCAACAGATGATCTAAGTGTCTTGAAATGTCAAGTCTACCATCCTCTAGTATTTACAATATCATGTTTTAACATACCATACACTATTTTGTCTTCCAAAATCATTAAGTTTGTTCAAAACGTAAAACGCTTCCGTTTCCATACTATGATGGTGTTTAGGATCCATCACAGATATTTAGTGCGTACAAGGCTGACCTTTCTCCCAAAGTTACCAACCAAATATTAATGCATTGAACACTTTCAAGTTAAAAACCACATTACCAGTTTGCACTTCAGGACAAGATTTCTTACCATCATATTTGGCAAGGTGATCCTCAGCTCCATCTTTCTTGGCTTGAGACAGAACCCACCTAAACAAATTTCAAAATAAACACTTCAAATTACATTATATTTTTCCTAAACGTTTACAATTATTCCAAAAAATTTCCAATTACAGACAACATAAATCACTTCACAACTGCTCTTGCCTCCTAAAGTCACACAATAAAACTAGCTTCTGGATATTTTATATTTTGGATTTTATAATAAATAAAACAAGATAAACAAGGGTGCAGAAATATAGGCAATCACATGGGCGATCCTTGGGGGTCATCACTGGAGCAACAGAGTGTGGGCTTGTGTAGCGCTTTCGGCAGAGAGACGGAGCCATGCAAGATATAACCCACTGCAATGCAGCCTATCCTCGTCAGGTTGTTATAGCTCTTGAAAATGTTTACCTGAATTTGGAGCATGGTTTGCCTGGATCTCATTTGCAACAAAATAAAAATAAAAATGTAACAGCACACATGTCCATGTCTGAGTATAGATTTCATGTGTTTCATTTGGCCCAGAATATCAAATCTCTCTCTGTGCATGTCAGTTTGTGTGTGTGTGTGTGTGTGTGCTCGCACGCGTAAGCATTTGTGTGTGTACCTGTTGTGTATCCAAACAGTTTTCTCAATGCTCTGTTTTCGAAGGCTCATATGACTTGTGCACACTTGAAAGTACTAAAGAGTCCCTAAAGACATCCTATAATATATGGCAGATGGGTAGAATATGTTGAAGATTTAAATGCCATGGATCACGCATCATGGTGGGGGGAATTAGGAAGGGAATAGAGACAAAAGAGAAATGGAACACAAGAGGTGAGCATGTTAGAAACACACGTGATGGCAACATCTAGTGCATCTATATATGTCAACAGATCAATACAAACAGAGACACTGTCTCAGCCTCTTATCCTCAATGATGCCCCAAGACATAGGAAAGGGTCCCTTACTGTGTTTATTATTTGGTTTCACTATTTAGTCTGCGGTGGAAGATTAGTGTTAAGGGCAACCTATTATATTTGTCTATTTAAATTTTCTTCTACTGCATGTTCACCGGCTATAAACTCTGGTTAAAAGTTTTGGTTGCCCATCTGCCTCTGGACTTTAATCTTGTTCCAAAACCGGAGTACTGTATGCACATCCATTTACAGATGTGACTTATTTGTATGCAGACTGTTGGTTTCTCACCTCTCAGGCAGATGCACCGCAAAGAAAGCTCATCTCCCCCTATGCTTGTTGCGGTGGCAGTGGATCAATTCTCTCCCACGGACCCCAGAACCCACACAGGGACAATTTATATTTGAATTACCAACCTTTTCAGGAAATCTGCCCTGGAGTCAAACGGCTCAAAGAAATGAGTAGATCCACTAGGTTCGGGCTTGACATACAGAGGCTGCCAACAGAACAATGACTCAGTTCAACAAGTACAGTAACTGGCATGGACATTACTTGTCAATTAAGTCCTAAGTCTCCATGTTACTCTGACAATAAGACCTAACCCAAATATCAGCCCTAGCTGAGACAATCAGTTAGACAAACTTGTTCGTCTGTTAAAACACATGATGGACATACTCAATTATAAAGTAATGAATGGATAAATAAATAATATTATTGACATTAACAATTTAAATAAACTTATTACTAAATATCCAAACTGGTGCCACTGGATGTGACGTAAATGTCTATTTATAAGTATCCCAAAACTTGGTGGCACTTGTAGACAAATTTCATTGCACATCTTTAAGATGGGGACTGTGAATTTTTTTTTTACCTTAATCAGTTTGCATACTAATAATCCAGATCTGTTAAAATGGATTTGAATGCAGAACTCACAATCTGGAACAAGACAGAAGAATAACCAGAACTTTCCACTGCAGATCACAGCCGGTCAACGCCAACAAGAAAATGAAATATTTAAGACATAACCTAAAAATAGAGCCCAAGGGTGTCTTTTGGAGCAAAAATAACAATAAGACCTGTCTTATTTTTTTTAGGAAAACAGTGTTGTCTGTAGGTGCTCAGCCAATGATAAATATGAGGCCCAGTAGATTAAGTGAGGCCATGCTGGAGTGTGCTGGTTGACCGTTTCCTGGGTGAGCCCAGGATGAGAGCATCTGTCAGCTTTGCAGTTATGAAAGCCTCTAAAGGTGTGGCCGGTGCTTATGTCCCACAAGTGGATCCTCAAACATGACCATGCTGGCACAGAAAGTGATGAGGGAGCAGTCCAGCTGGCCGTCAATACATGCAGGAAGAAGCATGGACAGAGCAGGTATCACTCACACTGTATGAGCTAGGCTAATGGACAACGATAAATCTCTTACACTAACTTGACTGCGTGACCTGGGACTAAAGTATGGTGAAGCACATCTATGCAACCTTCGAGGATAAGATAGGAGACATTACATCCAACTCCTCAGGGGAAACAACCAGCAAAGGTACCCTGAAGTAACTGCTGCATCAGAGGACTGAGCAAGCATTGGAATGCCCGATGTACCGAGACGCTGACTGTGATCATCTTCATCATCAAGTGCCTTGCCAGTTGGCGTAGGCGGTAATGCATCTCCACAGATCTCGGTTTTGGGTGTTCTGGATCAATTCCATTGATAATATTCTTCCATTCCACTGTCTTAAGCCTTCCACCATCATTTCTCTTGGTCCGCCTCTTCTATCAGTGATTTTTTTCCAGTCGGCATGACTTTGATAATATAAAATAAGCTTGTGTTGGATTTCTCTTTAGGAATGCACAACATCAATGTAGCAGTTTGCATGGGTATACTGGCCAGTCTCAGTCAACTTTTTATTGTCGCGTGACATAAATAAGTGACGACAGAATACCAAATTAAAAAACCCACCTCACTTCTAATGTATCCATTTTCTCAAGAGGGGACATTACCATACAGTTAGAATCACTGGTCTGCACAACTCTATCATCTGCCATATCTAATCTAACACTTTCCCACAGAAAAATACCAGAAGACTTACTCTTTCTTTTACTACCACAGGTTCTTTTACTTCCTCTTCATCCTCAACTACTCCGTCATCATCATCTTCATCAAAATCCTCAGCCAAAGTTAATGAAAATGCTGATGCAATGAGAATGCAGAGACCCAAAAGGTAGACGATCTTCATCCTTCCTGTGAATAAATGTAGAAACCCTGGTAATGTGAAAACTGTAATTGGTGGTGGTGGGGGGGGGGGGGGGGGGGGGGTGTTTCAAGATATCTTATAAAGTCATTTTTTTCTTCTTGGCACTCACCGGCTATAAGCTCCAGCAGAAAATTCTGGCTGTTCATCCGCTTCACTTCAGGAATTTGGTCTTTTTCAGAGAGTTTTGTTTGCCATTTATTTTACAGATCTAGTTTAACTGTGTGCACTCTTAGTTCAAAAGAAAATCCTCAGAAAGTTGCTTGCAATGACATGCTTTTAGTGTTGGGGGGAGGGAGGGGGCTGTGGATAACCTCCTCTACACCTCCCCATAACAACAAAAATGGGCCTCGGAACCCACATTATAGGGTCACTGAATATTTTTTCAGTGTAAGCTTTTAAAAAGTAATTCTAGGCTATCTTCCAAATAACGGTTCCAAATTATCGAGGCTGAAAATATACCCTAACAGGGTCTCAGTCACTTGTAAATTGCGGACTTCCGCCACCCCCGAGAGTATCTCCCACACCACTATGTACGGCGTGGATTGGGGCTAAACTAGATGGCTGGGACTCACGAGTAAATAAAATGAAGGAAGCTGCAGGAGATGTGGTAGCTGCTGCTCGTGAGTCCCAGCCATCTAGTTTAGCCCCAATCCATGCCGTGGTGCACAATTTAAGTCACCGAAGTCCGCAATTTACATGTGACCGAGGCTCTGTTAGGGTATAATTTCAGCTTCGATAATTTGGGACCGTTATTCAGAAGATAGCCCAATTCTAAAATCGGCTATCCTCCGACTAACGGTCGGCAAAGATGGCGGCCGCAAAATATCCACCCACTATGAATATTAATGTGATTGTATGACAGAATATGTAAAAATAATTTATTATATCAGGTATCACTGCCACAAATACAGTGATAGATGACTGCTATGTTTGGGCTCTCCTTTAAATAACGGTCGCTAGCTGGAAAGCCGACGGTCGCTTAGTCGGAGTGCGCTCCCTTGGCTGCCTGCAAATACGGAGAGTAAAGAGGGAACGAAACAAATGACATACTTACCTGTCATCATACGGTTGCGTAGGGTGTGGGTTAGGGTTAGAAGTGACAATTTTGACGCAGGAGTTCCAAATACTGGCCGACAATCTGATGCTTGTGGGAGTGGCGCCACTGGACTTCTAAATATGACGGCAATAGGAGGGCGGCTGGTGCCCAATTGATGGCGATTTGTCCGTTTGAGTAGCATCCACAGTCCTTCAATTGTTTGGGTGTGTATGTCACTGTGCGAGATTATTTGGAACTCCTGCGTCAAAATTTTCACATCTAACCCTAACCACTCAAACTTATCGGTCATTAAGGCATTCAGATCTGCAGGAGTCACATCCGTGGCAACTAAGTCGTGCCTCGCAAGAACGTGGTTGCTAATGTAACTGCATAGCAACTGCCATGTTGACCTTGTTTTTCGATTCGTGACTTTTCCACTCCGTATTTGCAATGCAGCCAAGGGAGCGCACTCCGACTAAGCGACCGTCGGCTTTCCAGCTAGCGACCGATATTTAAAGGAGAGCCCTATGTTTGATCATGATCATAAATAAACAATTACAACATATCGAAGTATTTGGGCACACAATATGAAGGTGCTAAAAAGTATATTTTCCTCTTTGTTCCTATTATTCTATTAGTGAATAACTGACATTTACAAACGTTACATCTCGGCTTAGAATTGACATACAGACTTGAATAAAGTACTGTTCGATTGCAATTTTCAATACCTATCCAACTATGCTAGCTGTACTATAACAAAATAATTCTGAAAATTTGACTAATGTGTACCTACTAGTTGGTGACTGGTGGTTTCATGAGATCATCTCTACATCTACTAACATCAAAATGATAATTATACAAATTAGTCATCTTTTGTTTCCGTTTACAGTGCTGCTTGCTTTCATGCGTCTCTTTTTCAGTCTAACAATCTTAAGATTTATGAATTCATCGTTTCAATTTCCAGAAAAAAACATAAATTTATAGGCTAAATACAGCCGGCAAGAGGGACGTTGTCGTTCGTCGTTTTACGACCATTCCGGATTTAGAAGTATATGATTAAGATGTTGCATTGTATTTCTATTCACACTGACCACAGACATATAATACTACTAAAATACAAAACAGACATGTAACAAACCAAACCTGGTGTTATTTGCATATATATTTAAGGTGGATAAAGGTCTAAAAGAGGCGGTGGTTAGCAAGAATGACGGTTCTGGAACACCATTGCGGGTTTCCGTTGTAAGGAACGTGGTGAAATCTCATTTGTTGGAGGAAGCCTTGGTCACACCGGAAACCGTCCTCTCTGCCAATCAGCGAGCTCGGTGCCCTAATCTTGCCTTCGTTGACTCAAGTCTCTCAGCTTCTAAACCAATAACTTCAGGTCATCCCCTTGTGAGATGCAATTTTTCCTTATTTGAACCCCCACCCTAGCTTTTGCCGGGGGCCCTGAATATAGCTGGGCCACAAATGTGGCCTAACGGCTAAAAGGGGTTCCTGGGACCTCTCCACGGGTGATCCCCATCCGCATGGTGGCACTTTGTGTCACCGGGTGTTTATCGCGTGTGTGGCGTCCTGATGGGAAACAAGAAGAAAGCTTCTAAACCTCCTCTTTTCCTGAAGCCTATTATCTCCCAATGGAGTCTGCGGTCTCAATAATGGAAGCTTTTTCTGCTGACTGATTGCGAGTAGAGTATAGGCCCCCATCCAGTTCGCTCCAATGAGTTATATCCTCTGTGTGTATGTGTGTGTGTAGTATCCTGAATTCTGTTCTCTGTCATTTTTTTATGGTCTGCTTTTATTTCTTTGACTATGTGGGCTCCAGTGAGAAGATATTCAACATTATAATTAAATTCGTGTCAGAACCTACGAAGCGGATATCCAAAATTGGCTTCAGCTGCAGATCGACACCCCCCAATCCCACCCCCCCCCCCCATCCTCCTCTTCCCGCCTCCCCTCACAAAAATAAAAATTGGGGACTATGAAACATACTGAGAAGTATAGACGACAAGTGTGTTACTTTCTACATCATTCATTGACTGCCAACTGGTCCATAGGGATACGAGTAGCATCATATGCTCAGCACGCTTCATGGATTTGAAACAGAGCCTCATAGTGGAATTGATTACTCAATGACAATAGAGAACGTGTAAGGATATATAACCCCTGACGGCTGGATTTTCTTTCAAATAATGTCCTGTTCAACCCTTTAGCTGCCCTTTTTATTCTTTTAGATGTCTTTAAAAATTTGTATTATTATGAATTAACTGTGGTGGTTTGGGTGCTGCCCTGGGTGTCCTCGCTAGGATGCATAAATGTGTACAAACAAATAATACTCAAATATGGCTGAGGAAAGGTTAAGTGCCCTTGCTAAATTTATTTGGGTTCAAACGTCAAAAACAAAGAGGTGGGGAGGGGAGTGAGTGGACAAGGTGCCTGTGCTCCCAGGTTGCGACCTCTCATGCTCACTCCGTCATCCTACCGTTATCAACTGGTGTAAAAACTGAGCCTAGCTACATATCTTCAACATAAAATGTGACAACCAACATTGGTATGCTTCAACTGGTGTAAAAACTGAGCCTAGCTCCATATCTTCGACATAAAATGTGACAACCAACATTGGTATGCTTCAACTGGTGTAAAAACTGAGCCTAGCTCCATATCTTCGACATAACATGTGACAACCAACATTGGTATGTTTCAACTGGTGTAAAAACTGAGCCTATCTCCATATCTTCGACATAACATGTGACAACCAACATTGGTATGCTTCAACTGGTGTAAAAACTGAGCCTAGCTCCATATCTTCGACATAAATGTGACAAACCAACATTGGGTATGCTTCAAACTGGTTGTAAAAACTGAGCCTAGTTCCATAATCTTCGACATAACAGTGACAACCAANCTCAAGTCTCTCAGCTTCTAAACCAATAACTCCAAGGTCATCCCCTTGTGGGATGCAATTTTTCGTTATTTGAACCCCCACCCTAGCTTTTGCCGGGGGCCCTGAATATAGCTGGGCCACAAATGTGGCCTAACGGCTAAAAGGGGTTACTGGGACCTCTCCACGGGTGATCCTCATCCGCATGGTGGCACTTTGTGTCACCGGGTATTTATCGCGTGTGTGGCGTCCTGATGGGAAACAAGAAGAAAGCTTCTAAACCTCCTCTTTTCCTGAAGCCTATTATCTCCCAATGGAGTCTGCGGTCTCAATAATGGAAGCTTTTTCTGCTGACTGATTGCGAGTAGAGTATAGGCCCCCATCCAGTTCGCTCCAATGATTTATATCCTCTGTGTGTATGTGTTGTATCCTGAATTCTGTTCTCTGTCATTTTTTATGGTCTGCTTTTATTTCTTTGACTATGTGGGCTCCAGTGAGAAGATATTCAACATTATAATTATATTCGTGTCAGAACCTACAAAGCGGATATCCAAAATTGGCTTCAGCTGCAGATCGACACCCCCCAATCCCAACTATCCCCACCCCCCCACTCCCCCCCCCCCCCCCCATCCTCCTCTTCCCGCCTCCCCTCACAAAAATAAAAATTCGGGACTATGAAACATACTGAGACGTATAGACGACAAGTGTGTTACTTTCTACATCATTCATCGACTGCCAACTGGTCCATAGGGATACGGGGTAGCATCATATGCTCAGTACGCTTCATGGATTTGAAACAGAGCCTCATAGTGGAATTGATTACTCAATGACAATAGAAAACGGGTAAGGATATATAACCCCTGACGGCTGGATTTTCTTTCAAATAATGTCCTGTTCAACCCTTTAGCTGCCCTTTTTATTCTTTTAGATGTCTTAAAAATTTTTTATTATTATGAATTAACTGTGGTGGTTTGGGTGCTGCCCTGGGTGTCCTCGCTAGGATGCATAAATGTGTACAAACAAATAATACTCAAATATGGCTGAGGAAAGGTTAAGTGCCCTTGCT